CACATTCCTGGGGGAAAGTATTGTGAGGGCTCAAAACTGTAGACTTAGGGGTTTTCATCTCAAAAACCACAGAACACAGAATAATCTGAAGGGAAAATTGGCTATTATTTGAGAACCTACCCCATGCTGCTCTTCTAGATATGGCACCTGCACACAAACAAGTCATTATTCTCTGAAAATATAGAAGGCAAATGCAGATAAAAGGTAGCCAACAGACTATGGCCCCATAAAAAGCCAGGAAGAGGCTTATCTTAGTTAGGATTGCTGTGATGAAACACCATGACCAAAAGCAACTTGGGGAGGAGAGGGTTTATTTCACTCATAGTTTCATATAACAGCTCATCATCAAAAGCAGTGAGGGCAGGAACTTAAGCAGGGAAGGAACCTGGAGACAGGAACTGATGCAGAGGCTGTGGAAGGATGCTGCTTACTGACTTGCTCCTTATGGCTTTCTCAGCCTGCTTCCTTATAGAATCTAGGACCCTCAGCCCAGAGATGGCACCACCCACAATGGGCTGGGTCCTCCCCCATCAATTACTAATGAAAAAAATACCCTACAGGGCTTGCCTACAGCCTGACCTTATAAAGGCATTTTCTTAATTGAGGTCCCCTCCTCTCAGATGACTTTAGTTTGTGTCAAATTGACATACAACTATCCAGCCCAATTGACCCCTTGTCAACTTTACACACAAACACATCACTGTAAAGCCACAATCTTTCCTTTCTTGTTCATCTCCAAGATCACACATTAATATAAACATTACAATATAAAACATTTTACAAACTTAAAAAGTCCCAGTCTTACAAATTCAAACACTTTAAAAATTCAGTCTCTTAAAAAAAAGTCTGAAATCTCTTACAATTGAAAGTCTCCCAACTGTGAGCTAATATAAAATAAAAAATAAGTTTAATCTGTTTGTTTGTTTGGGTTTTTTGTTTATTTGTTTTTGAGACAAGGTTTCTTTGTGTAGCCCTGGCTGTCCTGGAACTAGCTCTGTAGACCAGGCTGGCCTTGAACTCACACAGATCCACCTGCTTCTGCCTCCTGAGTGCTGGGATTAAAGGTGTGTGACACCACAGCCTGGTTAAATTTTCTTACTTATAGAAGGAAGAACCACAATCAAATCAAAGTAAAACTGAGCTCCAATTGTGTAAATAAGTCAATGTCCAATGTCTGGGACCCACTCACTTCTGGGCCCTTCCAGAGGGCTTGGATCACTTCTCAGGCTCTGCCCTCTGCAGCATGCACAGCTTATCTTATAGGCTCCAGCTAGCTTCACTCCATAACTTTGCTGTTCTTCCTTGTCATCCCATGGTACTGGCATTTCCAAAATGCTGGGGTCTTCTGCTGCAACTGGGTGTAGCTGGAAGTCAGGCAAATCTCTCCCACCTGTGTCCCTCAGCCCCTTGGTCCCAAGTAAACACAAAGAGGGCTATATTATTTACAAACTGAATGGCCTATGAGTCAGGCTTCTTGTTAGCTAGCTCTTATAACTTAACTCAACTCATTTCTATTAATCTATATGTTGCCACGTGGCTGTGGCATTACCAATCTGCTGGCATCTTGTTGTTTTTTGAGCAACGGGCTGGTGTCTCTCCCTAGACTCTGCCTTTCTCTTTCCTGTCTCTCTCCTTGGATTTCCTGCCTGCCTCTAAGCTGCCTTGCCATAGGTCAAAACAGTTGTATTTATTATCCAATGGGGGCCACACATATTCATAGCATACAGAAAGACATCCCACAGCACTTCCCCTTTTCTGCCTAATCAAAAAGGAAGGTATTAACTTTAACATAGTAAAATTACACATAATAGAACAGTTATCATGCAGGAATTACAGGTACAATATCTGGTCTATTTGTATTTGGCAAAATTAAAGAAAATATTCTATCTATCCTATATTTGTGAGTATAAAGTTTCATATCTAATTAATCTTTTATCATAACCAAGGAAAATTATAACTATCTAGTCTTCAACTACATCAAAGACCCCAGAAGGATATAATATTACCTGAGTAAACAGGAAATGCTTTGTAATCAACTTCCAAAATTCTGGAAATGACAGAGACAGCTGGCTGCCTGGACAGTCATCTGTAACATTGGGGCATCCATCTTCAGCCTATAGGCCTAGAGTTTTTTCAGTTGCTTCTCCCTGTATCCTATAGAATATTTGGCAGTCTCCTCTGTGAAGCAGGAACCTGAAGGACCATCTCACCTTGTTTTGTGGTCAATTTTTCCCATGGGTCTTGCATGTCCAGTCTATATAACATATCATCAAATGGTCCAGGCAAGAGCAGTTCTTTGCCCAGCAGGCCATTTTGTGCCAAGAATCTAAACTCCATATGGAATGTCTTCAATGCCCATCTTCTTCTTTGAAGAAAATTGGTGCTGCCAGGAGTAGATGTGTCTCACTATCCAGAAAGTCTAAGTTTTTAAAACATTTTAAATGTCATATTCTGGAAGTGTTTAAAGATTACCTACCTAATTTAAATGTGCATCTATATACCTAAAAAACTTAACTAATATAACTAAAAGTTTGATTATCATAGATAACTATTCATCTGCATTTCTTAATTATATATTGCAATTTCAAATGAGCTGTACAAACATAATACCTTAAACATGAGTAGAAATACATACAGTGTGACAAAATTAACTTTAAATTTGTAATAAACTAAAATCCATAGAAATGTAAAACATTTCAAATAAGTTGTTGCTCTTTAGAAGTAGATTCAATAATCTATCCTTTCATCCTATCATATCTATATCCTACATTTCTATATCATATTCCCTTTCTTCTTTTAGAAAAAAAATTGACTATGTCCAATAACAGTTTGTAACCAACAACCTAAACAAAGACAGACATCCATAATTTATTTTTGGGGAATGTGGGTGCAGTGTTCTAGGCTACTTCCTGCTGAGTCGGGGCACTGTTAATCTTATGGTGACCCTGAGAAAATTTAGGATTATGGTCTTGACTAGAGTAGTCTGTGAGGCTGCATTGTCTGAGCTAGTTGCCTTGAAGCTGTTTTGGATGTTGGAACATCTGGAGACCTCTCAGGGGGTCTTCTTTGGTCAACTATATTAGCCTGGAAGCAATCCAGAGGTTCTCATCTTCTGTGGAAACAAACACAGAATCTGTTTTCCAAAGCAACGTATCCTTAGACACACATTTTGAAGTCAAGATACCTTAAAAATATATATATTGGTTCAAATGAGTAGTCTTTACAATCAAATGTCTTTCTGCAGTTAAAAATCCCAAAGACAGGGGCTGGAGAGGTGGCTCAGTGGTTAAGAGCACTGACTGCTCTTCCAGAGGTCCTGAGTTCAATCCCAGCAACCACATGGTGGCTCACAACTATCTGTAATGAGATCTGTCACCCTCTTCTGTCCTGCAGATATACATGCAGACAAAATACTGTATACATAATAATAATTAAATCTTTTTAAAAAATCCCAAAGACAATGTAATCCAGACTTTCTGTGTGATTTCCATCTTTATGTGGTTTATATTACTTTTACTGTTTCTTTAAAGACTTTATTTTTTAAGACAATCTATTTTTATATAACTGTCTGTTCTCTTTTTTTCCTCTCTCTTCCAAGCCTACATATATTTTTACACACACTGTAAACCGTTTAGAGGTTTATTCCATCTGCCTTATTGTGAATCTATTGCTTTAAATTGCAGCATGGCTAGGATTGAAGCGGCAGCCTTGGGTGCTGACTCTACCCATCTCAGCTTCCCAACATGGCAGAGGTACTTTTACCTCCAGCACTGAGGTCCATGCTCATCACTGAGTCTGGGAAGCAGTGGGTCTATGCCTCGATCCAGCAGTGTGTAGCCCAGAAACCTTTTTTTTTTTTCTTCTATACTAGCAAAAGCTAAATCTTCCATGCAGTATGCTGCATGGCTTGGAGACACCTCTGTGTACTGAGGTGTACACATCCACCATGCTGTGCTCAAGCTCAAATGCCACAGCATTTCTATACAGCAGCATCTTTGTACCATACCCCCATGAGAAATACAAACTAGAAAGCTGCTCTTTGCTCCGTTTTAGTAAGTTCTCTCAGGTTTTAGGTGGAAACTCTTGCCAACATGTTGGGCAGCCAAATGTAATCAAAAGTTCTCCTATGTCCAACACATATTCACAGTGTACAGAAAGATATCCCACAACAACTAGGCTGCACTTTCACCAATAGCCTCTCCTAAGCTGTCATCATGGTGCCAAACCTCAACTTCTCCATGACCCCTTCAGTCCTGGAGCTTCAACTGCTACTGAGGCTGCACCCTCTCCAATGGCCTATCCCAGCCTCTCGCAGTGTCAAGCCTAAGCTGCTTTTCATGACCCCTTCATGCCTTCAAAGCTGGGTGACTCTTATATTGCTAAGTTGAGCTACTAGCATGAGGTATAACCTTGGCAGCTGTGTATTAGCCCTGAGGAAACATTTTCCAGAAGATTTCACCTCAATAATACTGGTTTCTTCTTAATAGTAGCTGATTCTTCAGCCCCAGTTGACCAGCATCAATTGTCCCAGCAAAGCAAAGTTTTTACTTTAGTGGCTCTGGTCTCTTGTTAATCCCAGCTGATTCTTTAGCTCCAGCTGACCAGACACCAGATTCTTCATACAAATTTCCTGTTAAAGTCTTTGCTTCCCTCTGAAAATTCACAAGCACGGCCTCCATTGTCTGTACTGCTCTCAACATTCTTATCTTCCAAGCTCCAACAGCTCCCCAAACTTTGAATACTCAATGGTTTTTCTAGCCCAGAGTTCAAAAAATTTTCTACAGTCATCCCCAAAACACATGATCATGTCTGTCAGCAATACTCCACTATCCCAGTACCAATGTCTTTCCTAGTCAAGATTTCTTTTGCTGTGATGAAACACCATGACCAAAGCAACTTGGGGAGGAAAGGGTTTATTTGGCTTACATTTCCATATCACTGTTCATCACTGGAGGAAATCAGGACAGTAACTCAAACAGAGCAAGAACATAGAGGCAGGAGCTGATGCAGAGGCCACAGAGAAATGCTACTTACTGGCAAGCTTGCCTACAGCCCAGCCCGATCTTATGGGGACGTTTTCTTAATTGAGGTTCCCTCTTCTCAGATGACTTTATCTTGTGTCTACCCAGCACACCTATGCTCTAAGATCTGTTCCTCAGGCAGAGGCAGCCCCTGTGCTTTAGTTTGTGTGGGGACAGTAGACTCATCTTTCAGGTCTGATTGGAGAGGTGTTTTGGAAGTGACTCCAGTGAGATTTGTCAATGGACCCAATGTGGCTCATGAGGATAAGAGAGGATGCTGTGACTGGGGCTGAGTCTTTGAATTGGAGGGGCTTAGGAGTAGGAGTCCAGAGTCCCCTCTTGCCATTGGAGTCTGGAAATGATGGGATGAGGCCAGCTGCTGCAGAGGTCCCATTGCTGAAGGCAGTGGAGGAAGCCGGTGTTCTCAGATGTAAATTTTATACTTACCCGGGTAAAATGGTGCCAGGAGATCTGCAGATGTCAGTAAGAAAAACTGTTTATTGCTCACAGTTCTGAAGAGGAAGGATCACACACCACCCCCTAGGGCCGGATGAGGAAGTGCCAGAAAGCAGGGAGGGGACATTGTGTCCAGGATCCTTTATTGTAGTTTCTTCAGGAGAAACTAGATGAGGCATAGCAGGAAGATTCAGGGTCAGCTAGTGTGGAGGCAGGGGGCTATCCCAGTTGTCTGCTACTCAGTCCTGGGGTGATCATAGCAGGTGGGTAGTTGCTAGGTAATAGGCTGATCTAGGTGTAGAATGTGGTTGAGGTATGGCCTCTAGATTGGTTAGTTTGTGTTTAAAACATGGAGCCAAACCTCTTAGTATTACTAGGAATGAGTTAGCCCTTGGCAGAGCTGGGCTGGGTGCTCCAGGAGGAGCAAGGTCCCACACATCCAGACATTGGAAAGTTAAAAGGCACAGCTAACATACAGCCAACCCTTCTACAGCTACAGGACAAGGCCATCAGTACAAGGTGGCATCAGCAGTGTGACTAGGTAGGGATTTGGCAAAGACTTTCATGAGTGCGGGTGCTCTTCGGTGATGGGAAGGGCTGCGACACAGGGATGACCTCTATCCCCGCTCCCCAGTGAGTCTGAGAGCCAAGGCCAAGTGAGCTGCTTGGGGATGCTTGCAGCTCACTTCACCTTTGGGTGAGGCATAACCAGCTGATGTTTTTCCTATGGGCTGGAGGTGAAGGAAATACTGTAGAAGGTAAGGGAGGGGAAAGCAGAGAGAACAAAGGTGTGCTTGCCCGGATGTGGGCACTCCAGGGTGTTGCACTTAAGCACTTTGTCATGAAACAGTACAGAAGAGACTGTACCTGTGAGTGAACACTGGCAAAGGTGAATGCAGGTGTCCACCGCCACCATGCACCCTGTCTTGGTGCCAAGTAGAAACCCTTGTTTAGTTGTTTGCTTAGCCATTCATTAGCACTTAGGAAAGGGCAGCATGGCTCAATGCCTGTCCGAAAGAGTCATACTGACATATCCTTTTCTCAAGTGAACGCTTCTAGCCTCACAGTACACAAATGAATGAGGAGAAATAAAATCAAGATGTAGAACGCCAGAGGACAGAAGAATGAGAGGAATTCTGCCAGGTGTAGCCAGAAGCTAAGTCGGGGGTAACAGGAGGCTGAAACAGACCTGGAGAAAGGGCTGCTGCTTTCAAACGTCACAAGGGTAGGAAAGGCACCTCCTCCAGCTGGCCCAGCCCATTGGCGGTATAGCTTGGTAACAATTCCTTGGTGAGAGCCCCCATGCATGACACAATCTTGCCCTGTATTCTCGTCATTGTATCAAGGTCTGTGTTACATGAGGATGTCTCAGGAGACTACCAGGGTGGAAGACCAGGAAGGTAGTAGGAGGGGCAGGGAGTATGAGTCTTCCTGGTTGGGACTTACGGCTGAGGAGTGACAGAAAAGAGAAGGCTGGAGGTTTTCTGGAGGAGCCACAGGAGTCAGGGATGGTGCATGCCATCCCTGTGGTTGGGTGCATGTCATCATCTCACTCACAGTGAAAATGAAAGGAGCAGAGGACAGGGCAGGTTTGGTAATGCAGACACACACACACACACACACACACACACACACACACACACATCTGCTGTGCACCCTCCTGGGCTGGTGACCATCTGTGTGCCACTCAGTGAGCACCTGTGGAGGATATGTGCATGCCCACTGTTCTTCATGTTTCCAAGGTATGAGGGTTGTCATCATAAACAGGGCAAACACAACCCTGCCCTCATGAACCAGCTAGGCAAGGAAGGAAAATCACACTTAAAATTTATATTCCAAGGCACTGTGCAGTATGCAGATTTCAGTGTGCCTTAATATTTCAAAGGCACACTTTCCCTAAGATCAGCTGTAAGCTTCCTCCTAGGCAAGGCAGTGTTCAGCAGAGTGATCCAGTATTGCATGGAAATAAACAAAGAGTCAAAAAGCTTCCCCTGGAACCTGGGGGATGATTCAGTGTGTAAAGCTTTTGCCACTCAAGTGTAAGGACCCAGAGTATGGATCCCTCCCACCCATGTCAATGCTGGTAGGTGTAATGGACCACCTGTAATCCCAGCATGGGAAAGTCAGGAGCTGTTGGGGACAGAGAGGAGCCCCAAAGCAAGCTGGCTTGATAGACTAAATGAGTCAGCAAGCTCTGACTTCAAGCAAGAGAATATATAAGATGGAAAGCAATCATAAAAAAAAAAAAAAAAACCCAAAGTCAACCTCAGGCCTCCATGTGCACCTGCTCATATCGCCACACACATATACACATACATACACCACAGACACACATGAAGAAGTGTTCTACGGATACAGGTGAGTCCTGAGGTCAGATAAGCAGTCCTGTGCCAAGTGAAAGACCAAGCCTCTTACATATGACATGTGGACCTGATTCCCTTTAGAGCAGGGCATAAAGGATGTGCCAGAGATGCCCCAAGTTAGCTGAGTCCAACCTCGTTCATGAAACAGGATCTGAAGCTGGGTAGTGAGAAGCAGATGTTGTCCCTGAGGGGTAGGTGACTACCCACAGCCAGCTCACTTCCTCTGCTGACACAGGCGTCAGTCACCTTGCTCATCTCAGACATCCAGCATCAGAGGTGTTTCCAAAAGTGCTTGCAGGAACAGACAAGAGCTTGGGCCTGGATCTAACCACTTAACCCGCACTGTGGGGATATAATATCCACATATGTGACACATTCTGGATATGTGACACATTCTGGAAACTTCCATCCTGGCTGTGTTTCTGGTTGCCTGGACTAGGATACCTGCCCTGCTTACCTGACAACACCATCAGCAGCCACAGGTGCCTTGCTCTCAAAGGAATTTCTGCTCCTGGCTTGTTCCTACACCCCTGCAGGGGAGCAGTAGAGGTGGCTTTCTCGCACTCTGCCAAGACTCTTCATCGGGTACCTGTTGGAAAAGATCCTCAGCTTGGGTTCACCCAACATGAGTGCTCTGTGTGAAGACACGCACCAGATGTGTGAAGATGGTGAATTATTAACTACACTTTGTTCGGCTGGAATTTCATCCTGATGAGGGCTCACTAGATCACTAGAAGCATCGGGGAAGGCAGTGAGAGGGAGGATGCCAGATGGGAAATGAAAGGAAATGAAGGGAAGGGGAACGTTAGAGAATAAGTATCAGCACCAGTTCTCCAGGTGAGAAATCAGCCGTGTGACCGTGGGAAGGAGGGGGAAGCAGCCTCCATGCTTAGCAGCTGGGGAAGAAACCAGCACAAGGGGGGTGGAGAGGGAGATTTAGGGAAAAGCACCTGTGCCAAAGAGATTTTAATGTTTAAAATTTTCAGGAGACGTATTAGAAAGCATATAAATGGCCTCAAGCTAGTTATGTCCAGTTAAAAAATACTAACCATTCCATCGTATATAGTAAATGGTCTTAATTTATAAATATCACTAAAAAGCATTTGAAGCCGAATCATTGAATTTTATCATTTCTTGAGTTTAGTTTTAGAAGGTTGGGGGGGTTATTTGTTTGTTTGTTTGTTTGTTGTTCTTGAAGTAGAGTCTTGCAATATTGCCCAAGCTGGCCTCCAACCCCTGAGCTCAAGTAGTCCTCCTAAGGACTGAGACGGCAGGTGTGCTGTGCGTCACTGCCCCAGCTGAAGGTTGCTCCTTGGGGGCCAGACTAAGCTCGTTACATCCCTGAGTGCCCTTGATCTGCCCAAGGGCCCTTGAAGTAGAATTGTGATAGCCTCCTATGCAGATAGGGAAACTGAGGCACACAGATACTCCATGGCTTGCCAGAGGTGCTTTGGCTGCTAGGTGCAGGAAGGCCACCAGCTGCTCAGCTTGTCCCACATGCTGTGATGCTCTTAGGCCTAGGAAGTACCTGGGTCACCAAGGGTAGCATGTACTTGGCACAGAACTTGCTTTTCATCCTGGAAGATTCATGTTCCCTCTAACAATGTCAAAAACATTTCTTCTAGTCACCAGGGTATTACTACCTATCCTAATAGGGGCACAATGAAAATGTTTTAAATGGATTAATTCATTGTGATGCTTGTTGCTAAATGAGTTTAAAAGATGTGTGTGTGTGTGTGGGGGGGGGGGGGGGACAGGGGTTCAGTAATTACCAGTCTGCTTTTCTTTCCTAGCACGAGGAGCACAACATGATCCTCCATAAAAACCAATTTCATTTCAAAATGCCACATTATACAAAGAGATTCTATCACAGATAAAACAAGGTTATGGGGTTCCCTGTACACAATGAACTCAGCTATATCAACAGTTACTCACACAGGAAAGGGAAAGAGATGAGTCACAGAAATTAGTCTCTGAGGACCTGAGTCAGAATGCAGCAATCCTTTCACAGGCTGCAGGGACCATCACACAGCTGATCTGGGGACTTGAGAGAAATACAAAGAAAAGGCTTCCCCAGGTCCGTGGTGGCGCACGCCTTTAATCCCAGCACTCAGGAGGCAGAAGCAGGCAGATCTCTGTGAGTTCAAAGCCAGCCTGCCCTATATAGAGAGTTTCAGGACAGCCAGGACTTCATAGGGAGACTCTGTCTCAAATACATACACACACACACACACACACACACACACACACACACACCAAAATGAAACAAACAAAAATACAAGAGAGAGAGAGAGAGAGAGCACTTTAAAATCCTCCTATCTCTATATCATCTAGACTGGGTAATGAAGCATCATGTAATACCAACAGAAGGCAAATGTACACTGGTGGAGGGGGATTCATTTTCTTCAGTGATGCAGCCTCTGTTATGCTGCCCTGACTCAAGTCAATAACTGACCCCCAACCTATGCTTCCAGGAGCAACTCTGATTAAACTCAGTGGAGCATGTTTGTGCATTCACACACACACACACACACACACACACACACACACACACACACACACACACGAGGAAAGTAGGAAAGAGAAGGGTGTGGGGAGGAAATATGATCAAAGTACATATATGCATGTTTATGTAATTGTGAAAGAAATAATTAAAACCGCAGCCCTAGAAATGCAAATGGTAGTGCATGCACGTTTCAATCATGAAAGCTGCAAGTGTCTCTGCCTCCGCTGGTGTTTGGGATTAGCTGCTGACACAGGATGCTAAGGAGCCCTCGGGTAAAAAGCTGCCTCATTTAGGCTTCTGAGTTCAGAGGTTATGTACAATTCGATGAATCCCAGGGACCAGCACATGTGCTTACAGGCAGGGGTGGAGAGAGGCCTGAGCAAACAGGGAAGTGTGGCCCTGGGACACCATGCAAGCACCGTACCAGGGTAGTGAAGCTCTGCTGTCCCCAGGGCTGGGACATGCTTCACAAACCCATCTCACTGCCCTACCCCAGCAGCCGGGGCTGCCGAAGGCCAGGCCAAGGGCCACTGCAGCCTGGAAAACTGTCAGAGAACGGTCAGGGTGAGCACGTGTGTTAGATTCTGAGCTGTCAGTGCCTGGCTCAGGTCAGGTGGACGGCCTCTGGCAACGGGTGTCAAATGACCGCTGCTCTGGCGCTGCTCAGAGTCCACCTAGATGGACAGAATGAGTCTCAGCGGACCCATGCGACCAGTACCCAAAGAGTGGCGGTTTGGCCTCACTCGGGCTTTGGAACTGGCTAATTTGAATCAGGATACGTTTCTGTGAGAGCCAGGAGAGGTGTGTGCAGTGATGATGAAGCATCTGCCAGATGCCAGCAGGAGGCTTGCACATGACAAGTAGATATTGTAGCCATGGTATCTGTCTGCCACCCTGATGGGCACAGGATTAGAGCCCAGGCTTTGGTCAGAAGGTGGCCCCCTGGAGCAGGTTGATTGGACCACCTGCAGAGAGCTGCAAACACAGGTGCCAATAAAATTCCAATTAGATGCAGAAGCAGCAAAAACCCATCTCTGCTTCAGCCCCTTTCTCTCCTCACTTTCCTTTCTTCCCCACCCCCCTTTCTTTTCTGGTAATTAAATCTAGAACCGGTACATGCTAAGTGAGCACTCTACCACTGAACGGGATTCCCAGCTCCTTTATAGTTTATAGTTTTAGACAAGGTCTTGCTAAATTATCCAGGCTGGCAGGGAACCCCCTATTGTAATCCAAGCTGGCCTCGAGCTTGCAATCGCCCTGTCTCAGCCTGGCAGGTGCTGAGATTTCAGGCCTGTACCACTTTGCCTGTTTGGACACCACATTTTCTTTCTCACTTGCTGAAGATGTCAAATCAGCTCCCCATACAGCGCTGCACATTTAACATCCTCTGTGCTGTTCGGTTTCTGTGGCCTGATGATCACTTCCACACATAGGTTTTCAAAAAAAGGAGAAGGAGGGAGAAAGTGGCAAATATTAGCTCAGGTATGTGGGTGGATGAACACCAGCTGCATACAAGGTTGCAGATTGTAGGTGTCTGCATGGGAGCTGAATTCCAAGTCTTTATCCGATGAAAACATGAACAGAGGAACATTTAGGGTTATGTCAAGCCCTGTGTATTCAGAATGGGTCTACTGTAAAAAGGCTTCATGTGCCCTACCTGAACCTGCAGCACCCTGAGAATGCTTGTGTACTGTGTGCTCTGAGCCTGTAGCACTGTGAGGATGCTGTGCACTATGTGCCCTGACCTGCAGCACCCTGAGGATGCTGGGCACTGTGCCCTGACCTGCAGCACTGTGAGGATGCTCTGTACTGTGTGCCCTGACCTGCAGCACCCTGAGGATGCTGTGCACTGTGTGCCCTGACCTGCAGCACTGTGAGGATGCTGTGCACTATGTGCCCTGACCTGCAGCACCCTGAGGATGCTGTGCACTGTGCCCTGAATCTGCAGCACTGTGAGGATGCTATATACTGTGTGCCCTGACCTGTAACACTGTGAGGATGCTGAGCACTGTGTGCTCTGACCTGCAGCACTGTGAGGATGCTGTGCACTGTGTGCCCTGACCTGCAGCACTGTGAGGATGCTGTGCATTTTGTGCCCTGACCTGCAGCACTGTGAGGATGCTGTGTGCCCTGTGTGCCCTGACCTGCAGCGCTGTGAAGATGCTATATACTGTGTGCCCTGACCTGTAACACTGTGAGGATGCTGAGCACTGTGTGATCTGAGCTGCAGCACTGTGAGGATGCTGGGCACTGTGCCCTGACCTGCAGCACTGTGAGGATGCTGGGCACTGTGTGATCTGATCTGCAGCACTGTGAGGATGCTGTGCACTGTGTGCCCTGAGCCTGCAGCACTGTGAGGATGCTGTGCACTGTGTGCCCTGACCTGTAGCACCATGAGGATGTTGTGCACTGCGTGGCCTGAGCCTGCAGCACTGTGAGGATGCTGTGCACAGTGTGACATAATTCTACCTTTCAGAGGTGACATTTAGCCCCAGATCTCAACAGATAACGTGGGGGATCTGGCCTGCTGAGGCTTCTGTGTCATTTTACTAACCTTGTGCCACAGATTCATGGAAATCCTGATGTATTTCCACCACCATGTTTTCAGGGAATTATGGGGCCTCAGTTTGTGAAGAGCACTGGACACCTTTGAATAACTGCCAGTTGTTTTAATTCCATTTCGGTCTTTAGCTTGGTTACTGTTCCTTTGTTTTCTTTTGAAAACAAAGAGTTTTTTAGCTGTCCTCTCTAGAGTTTTTTTTTTTTTAACTGTCCTGTACTTGATCAATCCAGAGAATCTACAACTAGAGTCCCCTCTTCAATCAGAAGTAGCCCAAGCTCCGCCTATAGTCATTTCATGTACACATATGGAAAGGTCACTCCACAAAGTTTTATTGGCCCTGCTTCCTCTCTGGGCTAGACTTTGTGTCCTTCTTGTTAGTCTGCTTAATAGAGGTCCCAGACTACAGTATGTATTTAGCATTCTTTCCTTCCCAAAAAATAACTTCTTGGGGCCCAAAATGTAGCTCTTCGCCATAATGACTCCAACTGCTCCATGCGTGTTTATTCTGTGAATGATGTCC